GAGCCACGTCCTCACCGGCCTGCAGGGCCCCCGGCTCCCCGCCCGACCCCGCAGCAGCACCCCGCTTCCGCCGCCCTGCCTCACAGCAGAGGGCTCCCACCCCCACCCCCACTCACGCGAGCAGGCACCTGGATGCCTTTCAGGTTCATTCTGCGCTTGGGGGGGTGGTAGGGCAGGAAGTATCGGCTGTCCTCCGGCGACTCCTCTGAGGTTGAAGAATCATCAGCCTCCTGACCGTTGGTCCTGGGGCTGCTGTCCCCGAAGTTCTGAGAGATGATGGTCACTGGTAGGTTCCTGGGCAGACTCTGGCGGCAAGGAGAAGCCGCGTCATTGACGGGGAGTGAGGAGCAGCCTCTGGACGGGCAAACGGCTCTGCTGCCGGTGCTGCTGATCCCTGGGGCACCCACGCCTGAAACTCAGGACGGCCTGTTCTTCTCTCCTGACCCCTGCGTCCACCAGGACGCCAACATCGTTCTAAATTATGATCGATTCATCAGTGAAAATAAATGAACTACTACTTGGTAAGATCTTACAAACATAACATTGACCAAAAGAAGCCAGGCTCAAGAGACCACCTACTGCAGGATCCCACTTATAAAAAACTATGAAAGAGGCAATAAAACTGACCTACATCATAACCAGGATAATGGCTACATTTGAGGTGAGGGAGTAGTAATGCGTAGGAGGCACAGGGGTTGCTTCTAGGGTTCTAGTAATGTTCTATGTCTTGATCTGGGTGGAGGTTACATTAGTGTGCTCACAATTAAAATGTATTGAGTTGTTCGTGACAACATATGCTCTTTTTAATATACATGTTATTCTCAATAAACCAGTAAAAAAAACCTTAAAGAAAAAAGAACTTATCATCCGAGCTCCAGTGTCCTCCTCACAAGCCTCCTGACCCCATCTCCCTTCCGCCAGGGGTTGGGAACAGGCCCCGTGTCCTTTGTAATAGTAAAGAGATTGCCTCCTGGCTGGACTTGGCCCCTTAACTGGTATGCCACCATCAGATCGCCAATTTCTAGCCTTGTGCCTAAGCTACAAATATAAAAGATATTACCCGGGGATAAGGGGATAGCTCAGTGCCAGAGCGCATGCTTAGCACACACAAGGCCATGGGTTCAATCCCCAGCACCTCCACTACGTTGTTGTTTAAAAAAACAAAACCTAAGAAACTTTACTTTGGGGTGGGGAGGGTACAGCTCAGTGCTTAGCATGCGTGAGGTCCTGGGTTCAATCCTCAGCACCTCCATTTAAAAATAAAAACCAAAACCTAATTATCTCCCTTGTCCAAAAAAAAAATATTGCTGAATGACTGAACAACCATGGAAACAGTGCCAGGTACCGTCCTGAGTGATTCACCCTGTTGTCTGAAGCTGAGGCTCAGGCCCGTTATGTAACTTCTTGATGACCCCTGCAAAGCCACATAGCACCCTCATGCCACACTCGCTCTAGGCCCAAGCTTTGGGCCTCACTCTGCCGCACAAAATCCTTCATGGTCCGAGAATAACTGACAACCAAACTCCTCAGCCTACAGGCCCACCCTGCCCCTGCTGCTGCCCCCGCCAGCCACACCTCCCGCCTGTCCCTGCCCCCCCGACACACGACAGAGCTGCCTACCGTGGCCTGTTGACCGTGCACCCAGACCCACAGCTGTGAAGGGGATACCATCTGCCTTGACGGCAGCGTCTTTCACGTCTGAGGGCCTGGGGCCTCGCCGTGACACGTTCTCTGAACCTCCTATCGCCCGGACACGGCTGTGTCCTCCTAGGCACCAGTGACTTTAACGGGAGTGGGCATCTTAAAGCCCGTGACCATCCAGGTGGGTCTCAGGAAACCCAGTGGGGGGCTGACGGCCGTCAGGGGTCAGCTGAGAGGGAGCTGAGATGGCCTAGCCAGCGGGCGGCCAAGCCAGGGACCTGCCCCGCACCTTCCAGCTTCAAATGAGCGGCTGGTACTCGTCACTACCCAGACGCGCGTCCCAGGGCGGGGCGCGGCCCAGGGCGGACTGCGCAGGCGCG